TCATTATATTTTGAATTAATTAAATTGTTTACTTTAAGAATTTGATTTGTTTTGAGGACTTACCACACCTAATTCAAACAATTTAGTTTATATATATGGTTTTGATTGCTATTACTATTATTATTAAATAACTTATTATTATTGTAATGGTGATTACAAAATTTTCATACTTAAATCCTATTTTTACAAAAGTGGATCAGATACTTATCTATTTTACTCTTTGGTAGCTTTTCTTGAGGTTGATTATTTGTTACAATTAGTTTCTATATTATTATCAGATTCAGTTGATTAATGAATTTTGTTTTATATTTTATAAATTTTTGGTAAAATTTAAGGAGTATTTAACTTTTTCATAGGAATAGTTGAAGGTTGAGGTAACTGAAATAAAGGAGTTTGAGATTAGCCCTTTTTTTAATTTCTTTTAATATCTATTAAATTATATTAGAATTTTATTTACTTGCTCCAGTCCAATTATCTTATAATTAAGTTGAATAATCAATGAATTTATTATATTCATGAGCATCTTCTAATGGATATATTTTGACATAATCTCCTAAATTATTATTTTCATATTTATCTCGTTATTCACTAATTTACTAAATAAGAAGTTATTTCTCTTCTTATGTTAATTTCTATTTCTTGCGTGTTAAAAGCCTCTATTATAATTATTCTTTTCTTTATGCTAGTATTTCTTCTTTAGCTTCATGACTTACATTCATCAATTTTAAAGTATCTCTGATGAGATTCTTTTTTATTAATGAATCTAGTGGTGTATCTGTTGTAAAACTTGGTGTATGATTAACTTCTAATAAAAATGGATTCAATTTATCATTTAAGAAGATATCAAATCCAAGTATTTCAAAACACATATTATTTGCATAATTATCAGGTTAACATGACTTGTAATGATGACTAAGAATTGGTTAGACACTACAAAATGTTTTAATAAACAAATTATACATATCTTACCATAATTTTTATATATTATGCCCTTCTTCTTATAATTTACTAAATACAGATTTAATTGACCTCTTGTGACCAATATCCGTTTTATTTGCATCATTATTGAAAATAAAGTTTGGATTTTCCTTATTAATAGCATAATTAGTTAAATGCATACAAACATCTTCCAAATTATTTGTAGTTGGAGTAACATATGATTCGGTTGCAAATCGTACTAATCCATCCTAATATACATAAATTCTCATAGGATTTGTACCAGCCAATAATACATAAACTCTTAAATCAAATTTCAGTCCATCAATCAAAAATGGCCTATGCATATATCTTTGTGCCACATAATGATCTGTTGGATTAATATCATTAATATTTCTTGTAAGAAATATTCCTCTACCTTAACAACTTGCCTCTGGTTTTACTATGAATGTTCTTACTTTTCCTTTAACAAATTAATTTTTAAAATCTCCATATTCAGCTGGTAATAACCAAGTTTATGGAAAAAATTTATAATCATTTGGAAATTGTTTTCTCATTTTCATCAAATTTTTTCCTAGATGATTTTTACGAGCTAGTGAATACATGCCTGGAAAATGATTTATTTTTTGATGAGCTTTTCAAATATAATTTAATAAACTTACGTTACATTTTACCTAAAGTTTCTGATGAAACAGTTGAATCTGTCCAAAAAATATCCCAATTAACTTCATCTGATTCATATTATAATATCCATTTAAATATCTTTTTCCCTACAAACTTAACTACATTATAATTTGTATCTCTTTTTAAATTGAAAGTTACCTGACACATTCATAATCAATTTATTTTTCTTTTTTTTATCATCTTTTCCCTTATTATCTTTGAATGATCCATTAAATATTGGTTCTCCTTCATTAGATTTTTCAGATTTCTATTATTACATTTAATTTATAAATATAAATAAGGGGATATAATATATTTTAGCAATTCATATATAGTAAATATTGTAATCTGTTATTAATACTTAAAAAAATTGAAATTGTTTACTATAATACTATAAATCAAGCTAAAATTAAAGATAAGTTGATTAATTCTTATAGTGTTTTTACTACATTTTTTATATAAACATCTTTTTCATGATCTTCATAACACATTAAAAAGAATATTATATTGCATTTTTATATTAATTTTTGTATAAATTAATTTATGGATCAAAACCCTGAATAAGATAGAGATTGGGATGATTTAAAAGGAGTATTAGCAGATGATATCATTAATAAATTCAAAGAAGTAGGTCCAAAAGTTTATGCTCATTAATATGAATTCATGAATTATTGTCTAGGTCAGGATGTCAATTTATAATCTCCTGTGATTGCTTTAAGAAGTCAAACTGGAAGTGGAAAAACATTGTGCTTCCAATCTCTAATTTATTAGGAATTCAAAGAAAAAAATCAAAAGATTAGTGAACAGAAATAAATTAAATAGAAAGACAATACAATGAAAGAAGTCAGAATGTTATATCCTTATACAATAGTCTTAGGATAAACTATATATTTGAAATAACATGAAGAGTATTTTAGAAAGCATTTACCTGAAAGATTAAAGAATTAAAATTTAAAATTTTAAACATTTTTTGCATTTACTAAAGATAATGTATAATATAATTAATATATAGTAATTTCAATAAGTAAAGGAGAATAGAATAGAAGAAGCTGATTGTTAAGTGTACTTATGTCATCCTAGTAAAATGTTAGTAGGATTAAAGAATCGTATAATAAATGTTTCGAATTTAAGATATTTGATAATTGATGAAGCTGATTAATTATTAGAAAAGAATGAATAAAATTAAGCTAGAATTGAAACAATGCAATTAATCTAATTCATTTTAGGATAAACTAATAATTAAAGTTATTAAATTATTTTTGTGAGTGCCAGTTTGAAACCTGAAGAAATATAAAGTTTTATTAAAGAATGTGTTTAAAATAATATTGATGCAAGTAAGAAAGTAGATTCTCGATTCTTACATAAAGATGAAGATGATATTCAAGAAGTTGTTTGTAATTTAAGAGTCATTCCATCAATTCAATAACAAATTTCTCCATATACAATAGTTCATATGTATAAAGAAGCTATAGAATAACCAGAATAAATCTTAGTAGATTTATTAAAGGATGTTTTTGATAAATTTACAGAGGCTTAAGTTATGATATTCTTTAACAAAAAAACAATTGTTAATGAATTAATAAATTTATTTAAAAAATCATAGAAATTAGAATACATAGTTAAAAATAATTGGATTGGAGAATGTACAGGAGATACAAATTAAGTAGATAGAGAAACAGTAAGAAAAGAATTTAAAGATGGAAAAAAGAAGATTCTACTTTGTACAGATGTTTTATAAAGAGGAATGGATTTTAGAAAAGTAAGAGTCATTATTCATTATGGATTACCTATTACTCCAGCAGGAGAATTTAAATCAGAGAGGTACTCTTATTATATTAATAATAATTTAGTTATTATCAACGTTCAGGAAGAACAGGAAGAGCTAAAGATGAAGGAGTTGTAGTATCATTATTATTAGATGAAGATATTAAATAAAAAAGATAAGAGAAATTAGTAGAATCTTTAGTAATGAACAATTCTAAAATACAAAAATATGATTAGAAACAATTTTGCACTGATTTGGCTAAACTATTGAATTTCAATAAAGAGTGATAAAAAAATAAATATAAAACAATATATATATGTCAAACTTATCTCATAGTAGTTAATCATCCAGAAGTTCTTCATAAAAACGTAATACAAAAAGACCTTAAAGAGACAAAAGGAAAAAGAATAATTCTGATGAATATGACAGTCAAATAGATGATGAAGATGTATCCTAATATGAAGGTATATAAATTCAATTCATTTTAGGCATGAGATCCAGAAATAAACAATAACCTTTATTAGGTCCTGGTAGATTCAACAGAAGAGAAAATAAACTCAAAAAACCTAATTCTGTATATACTCCGGCGGCAACAACATTTCTATATAAACCTGGGGCAGAATTACCTAATCTATCTAATTTTATCAATTAAACTATAGAAATAAGAATTGCTTGTGAATATGTTAACAAAAATAACTAATCATTAATACTTAGATAGATTTGGGGATCTAATGGTGTCTATGCTAGTCATAGTGATGCAGTTTGTATTGGCATACATGCAGGTCTATTAGCACTTGGAGATCTTAAATTAACAGGAACATTCTATTAAGGAGTTAGTCTATCTTGTAAAGTGATTAAAGGCAAAAAATCATTAAATGGTTAATTAAAAGTCCCATTACTTTCAAGATCTCTCAAGACTCCTTGTGCTCATTGTTTAAAACCTGAGAAAGTAAATTGGTTGCCTTAATTGGGATCTCCTGAATAATTAATAAGTTGGGCAAGAAAAATGTCTTTACCTCCTAATAGGAGATTAACTAAAAGAACACATTTGAATGTTTTCTTACATGAACCTCCTTAAAATAGTCTACCAGAAAATCTTTTAGTTAATAATCTACCACCTCTAAATGAAGGTTGGATTGTTTGGGACATGTGTAATGAACCTAGTTAGAAATATAATCTACTTACATTTTTAGATAGATAAACTGCTTAAGGAATACCTAGTAGAACTTCATATAAATTAAAAACTAATTGTTTGTATATAGAAACAAGCAATAAAAAGTATATAATCCTATATATATATATTAGATTTGAGATTTCAATGGATCCTAATAAAATAGCTGAAGAAGTCTTTTTAGATTCATAGGTTTTTATAATTTCTGAAGTAATAGTACCATAATAATCAGATATTGAGATGTTGTAAAAATATGGAGTAATTAAATTAATTTAATTAGTTAGGTTCCATTACCTAAAGAATTTAAGAAACCAATTTTAGAAAAATTGAAATGGACTAATTTTGAATGGGGTAATGATAATGTTATTATTGATGGATAAATAACAATTCAAGGTTTGAAGAGCTTTAAATTTGTACCAATTACAAAACATTAACATTTATGATTAATGATCCTATTATATAAAAATGTTAAAATTACATTAACAATTAATTCATTGTCCTTCACATAAAGAGAAAATAGTATCATTTAATATTGAAAAACATTGTCCTTTAAATTAGAGAGTACTTTGCAAAAAGTGTCCAACAGATGGATTAAAATTAGATATTGAAGAAGTAGAAACTTTGCCTTAAAGAAATTAATTAAATGAAAAACATTTATAAATCACATCATAATTCATTTAACATATCAATCATCAATATAATACACTTAAATAATAAATAATTGAAGAATTAGATCATTTTAAAAAAGAACTAGACAATTTTGTACATCCAATAATAAATTAAAAAGAAAAGTTTGATTATTATTTAGTACCTGAATCAACTTTAACTTTAAAAGATTTTTAAGAATTAGGATAATTATTAGCTGAAAATATTGTGATTGAAGAAGATCATTTTGTACTTGATTTTAATAAAATAGTAACTTAAAATCATAGATAATATATATAATCAAAATTTACTGATTTAGAACTCTTATTATAATTCTTCAGAAATATTAATTGTAATAAATAAATTGAACATCAAATATAATCACGAATTCAATAATAATATGAACATAATCATTAACATACAAAATTATCAAAGCATTCCTGTCAAATCTTATAGACAAATCAAAATATATTGTCTTTAGGAATCAATTATGAAGAATCAATATTAATTCTTGGTCTATAAGATAAAGCAGAGACTATATAAGATAATTTAGTTGTATATTAAAAAAATGAATAAGGAAATTGGGAATTAGATCAAATTTTATAACATCATGATTCTTCTGTTCATCATATTTATTATAGTAAGAAAGAAGACTGGTTCATATCTGTAAATATGGATAGTAATATAATATTTTGGAGAAAGTAACATAATAATTGGATATAAAATAAATTGAAATAAGAACATTTAAATTTCATTTGGAATGTAATAACAAGTGAGGCTGAAAATATTATAGTAACATGTAGTGAAGATTCTACTGTTAAAATATGGTTTAAACATGAAGATTCAATTAAATGCATTCAAACACTTAATCGACATATAGGACCAGTATATGCAATAGTCTTAAATAATGATAATACAGTATTATGTAGTGGAGGAGAGGATAAATAATTGATATTATGGAAATTTATTGAATAATAATGGGAAGAATTTTAAGTAATTAATGTTCATTCCAAAAAAATAATGGCAATTTAATTTTATGGTTTAAAGAACATAATTGTTTAATTTGAAAATTACATTTAAATAATAGATAGAAAAAGTGGTTAATGCATAGAATAAGTAAATCATAATGAATATAGGATATCTAATTTAATCTATTTAAATGATTAATTGATAAATTATGATTTTAATGGAAATTTATTAATTTGGATGAAAAAGGAAGATAATAGATGGTATATTGTTTTGAAATAAATTTATGCACACAAAATTAAATGTGTTTATGGAAGAGGAAATGAATTATATATTGGAGAAGGTAGTAAAGTTCATAAAATGCAATTATGAAAATATATTAGTATAAAAATATGAAAGAAGTCAAATATTATATAATATATTATAATTTTATAATGAATATAAATTCAAGATGTAAAGATTTATGTTCTGATTATCTTCACTTTTGAATTTTTCTGGATTCAAAATAATAATACTATAATTATTAAATGAAATAAAAATTAATTTGCTGTTATACTCTCAATTTTCATATTATATTTGGATATTAAAAAATATTTATCCTAAAAGTATAATTACTAATACTTGAAAGATTAATTGTTGCAAATTTTCAAATTGTCATTCAAATCTGAATTTCGCAGAAAAATAAGATAACATTTTACAGTATTGGATATTAAAAGAAAATAAGAAAAACCAATCACAAAATTTGATATTATTATTTGTTAACTAAGTAAATCTACTTTAGTTTATATTTATTATATTCTTTAGTTATCTTTATCTATATCTATATGTTTTTCATTTTGTAATCAAATTGATTACCAGATAAAAGAATAAGAGTGTATTAATATATATTTTTATTATGAATTTTAATTTAATCTGTCCTTAGCACAAATAATAAATTATCCAAGCATGCATTGATTTAGATTGCTCTGTATTCCCTTTTATGTGTAAAGTGTGTATGACAGATTAAAAAATAATTTCTTTACATACAAAACATAATCAATGTTTAATACCCTACCAACAGTACACTACATTGGTAAGTAAATAAATAGAAGACTAACTTTAAGATGCAAATAAATATATTGATCTATTCAATAAAGAATCTCAAGTTGTGTAACAAATTTTGTTATCAGATGAACATTTGAATAATATGGAAGGATATGTAAGATCTTAAAAGCAATAAATTGAATCTGATATCAATCAAGCCTTAGAATCCATAACATTATTATTTGAATTACATAAAACAGAACTAATAAACTAGTTAGATCAATATCTTAAAATATACAAAAACAACTTTTTTATACTTAAAGAATAATTAGAACCCATCCATTTCCTTATGACTAAATGTAAATATTACGCAAATGAGAACAACTTAAAAGTAAGGATAATCACTATTATAGTAAAAACTACATACTAAACCTGATTTAGGATCATAACTCAAGTTATCAATCAAATAAATGTCGATTATTAAAAAACCTGATATATTAAAATAAATACTTGATAAAGTTAAAAAGGCTTAAGAATTATAATATAACAATGAGAATTTTACTAAATTATTAACTGATGCAATGAATTCAATCAAAGACTTCTACATCAAAAATGTCAGTATTCCAAATCAATAACCTATTGAAATTTAACAATAACCAAACATACTTACTACTATTTAAACTATATCCTCTCCTCCAATTAAAAGTAAATCTATGGATGTATCAAATGCTGATAAATAGACTATGTTAGATGATAATAAGACAGTCATATCTGCAGTAGATTCTAAGATCTCTGTATTTAATTAATTATAACCATCCAATATTCCAAATATTAATATTTCAGTATTGGATAATAGAATTATAGAAGATACTAATCAATCTAAAGTATTGTTTTTCTTATCTATTTAGAATCATTCAAATTAACGATTCAGAATTAAAAAAAAGTTAAGTATTGAATTCTAAGTCACATCATTGGCTCTTGTTAGTAATGCCTTTGTTGCTTTGGGATTGGCTGATGGAACAGTCAAATTATTAGATATGACTACAAGCAAAGTTAGTTTTTATCCTAATACATATATTCAACATACTAAACCTGTTTCTTAATTATTGATTTTAAAATAAAATAAGGGAACAAGGTTGGCATCCTTAAGTGATGAAAATTATTCTATTATTTGGACTTTAGGAGAAAATTATGTACCTTATCCAGAGAGAAAACTAATTGGTTTTAAATCTAAATTAAATAGAATCATGGATATAGCTGATTCTTCTCACCTTCTTTGTTAGAGTGATACAAATCTATAAATTATCAATTATCATGATAATAGAATTGCTTATACTTTTGATTTTAAATCATAACTCATTGACTTTCTATATGTAAGTAAATATGAGAAATTTGCAACAATTTGTTAAGGAAATATAGTTTCTATATATAGTCTAAAAATAAATAATAATTTATAAGGAGCTATGCTATTAGTTAATTGTGAATTAGAATACATTTAATCAGCTCTACCAATCTCAAATATAAGTACATGTATTGCTATAGAATACTTAAATGATATAATTATCTGTTATGGATGTATTGATGGATCAGTCAAATTGTTTAATGTTCTTAAAAATATCTTCATTGGTGAATATTAAGTAATATATTAAATCATATAATTTAAGTTATTTAATTCAAAAGTACAAGAGTTGATAATTGTTAAATAGAATAAACTTTTTATATTAGTAGCCTTTGCTGAAAGTATAAAATAGATAAAAGCAATTAAGATTTAAGAGAATAAAATAAATATGATAGAAATGTTTGGTGAATTGCTTGAATGTCCTGCTAAAACTGGAAAAAATGTTATTTAAACATTTTTCAAAAATAGAAGTTCATTTTATTTATTAAGTGACTCCTAAAAAGATATTGGATTATATGAATTATGCTGAAAATAACAATTATATAGTATTATAATTTGTACAATTAGTATATTATCTATATATTAAAAATAGAATATATTTATTTATTATAAATTTATACTTTAATAAAATAGAAATTTTTATATAATTATTGATTGAATTTATAAAGTAAAAACAATTTTGCAAAAAATATGTTAAATTTAAGTCAAATTTAAAACTACAAAAGTAGCTAATATTGCTTAAATACTTGTTTAATATATTATCAATATTTTTGATGATAAAAAAGGTAGATAGATTTTTAATATAGAAATGGTCAATTCTTTCATCAATTAAAATAAGTTAAAGATTCATAAAATAATGATTAGTTTAGAATGAAATGTAGTCTTATATTAAAATAGATTTTTCATATAAATTAATGGTTTCCAGATTAATTAAGTTAATAGTATTGTAGACTTATTGATTTTATGATATGAGAACATAAATATTTTCAAAATGGAATATTTCTAAAATTTTTTATCTTTGAAAAAGTAAATTACTTGAAGATAGAGAATTACTTAAATAAAATTTTAAGAATTCTCAAATAATAATATGGAAAATTAAAAATTGTTATAAAGTACTCTAATTAAATACAGATAAAAGAGAGAAAAAGATGATAATATATCAATATATTTCAAAAAAATAAAATCATTTTTTATTTCTCTTTTTAATTAATAATTAATTCATCTTATGAAATCAGGTTCCTTTTCCTTTTATACTACCTGATATAATATTTTATTTATTAAGCAATAATTGATAATATTTCAATCAATACCCCAAAGGATAGTATTAAAATATGGAACCAACCACATTTTATTTTAAATTCTTCATATAAATATTAATCAACTTCTTATATATAAATAAAAGAGCTTAATGTAAAAATCAATACTGAACTTTATATTACCATCTATGAATAAAATTTTCCTCTGCCTTTAAGATATTTGTAACTTAAATTTAATTGGATAAGATTAATTAAAGCAATTACACCTAATTATAAAATTTCTGAACTTTCTAAAAAAATCAAGCAAGCGATAAAACAGAACTAAATTAATGTTTAGAAAACTTTAAATCTTTTTTTTTTAAGCTTTCTAGCTTGAATAATACTATTATATTAAGATTTTAGAATCCTTGAATTGAGGATATAAATTAAATAAAAAAGTAATATAATCAAGGCTAATATTAAAGAGAAGAAATCTTTGATTGTATATACTTACAAATATTTTAAGTAGAGCATTCCTTTAAATATCAGGTCCCATCCATTGACTAATAATACTCCTTGAATTCCATTTAAACTTAATACTTTTCCTAAATGAATCACCCAAAGACTTCTGTTATATAACCATTAAATACATTTATATTTGTACTCTCTATTTGAATGCTGTTGTGATAAGCTAATATACTATAACACTTTATTATTGAAGTAATGGGATTGAATAAATTTTTAAATTCCAGTTGATAACAAAATCAAAAGTACATATAGTAAAGATTGAATGATTTACCATTCAAGATTTGTGATTAAATCAGCATTTTCTTCATAAAATTTGAATTTTCCTGAAGTTTCTTTGTATTCTTTATAAAACACAAATCTTTCTATTTGCTAAATATTAAGTAAGTTAATAATTGTTTTTAAAGATAACAAATCATATGATTCAAAATAAAGTAGAAGATTTTATGGAAATCTCACATTGATGTATCTAAGATAATTTTGAAAAGATAAAAGGTTTATTATTTCTATTAATTATTCATATCTTCCTTGGAAAATAAATAAAGCGCAAGCTCCACCAAATGAAAATAGCATATACCTATTAGACTATTAAGCAATCTATGAATAATATCTCTAATTTTCATCTAAATATGTAGAAAACTATAAACTTTAAGAATATTTTTTAGCTTAGATCTTTTAACCATATTGATTAGTAATATTTTATTATAAATTTATTATTAAAATAGGCTTAAATGTTAAAAGCTGAAAGATCTCAATTTCTAAATAATACTCTACAATTTTCAGATATCTACTTATATCTTGATTATTCAATACATTAATATTATACTATGATTCAGATAAATTCAATATTGAAAAAGTAAGTGATTCTATAAGTAATCGAGTAGATAATACTTTAACAGGTTAATTAAATGTAAGTTTTAAATATTATATATTCCGACTCATATATTCATAATGAATATATAATTATGGATATTTAAAATAAGAACACTCACTGAAAGTATCTTAATTTAGTCTTCTACAAACCCAGTCTATTTGAATCTAAAATTAATGACAGCCATCGAAAGAATCATAATTTTGATCATCACATTCTTTTTACTATTCAATAATTAATTTGCATATGTTGTTTGATTGTAGCTGATAATTTATATTGCATTATAGACAATTCCCATCTAAACATTCAAGACAATTCTAAGGACATGAAAATTGACATTCATAACATCCATCATAAAGTATTTAATTTTAATCATCACATTCTTCTAAATAAGTTATCAATCCATCTCCGCATATAGGTAGGCAAGATTAATCAATAAATTCAAAACCTATTTCACATTATTAATAACATACTCCTTAATTACATAATATACAATTTAAAGGACATTAGTATGCACAATTAAAACAGCCATCATAAGGTACTAAATTGCCATCATCACATTCTTCCAGTCCAATAATTAAAATTCCATCTCCACAATAGGGAAAACAATATCCATTCTATAGTAAATATCCAGCTAAGCACTGCTTACACAGCTATTCTTCTAAAACAATACAATTATCTAAAAATTAAGATTCTTCTTCTGATTATTCTTCCTCTTCTTCTTCTTCATCATGTATTTCCAGGTAGCATTAAGAATTATTGTTTTAATTGCTTTATACAAGATAACCAGAATCGCATTTTTTACAGATTCCAAACTCACAATTTAAACAATGAACACCACAATCAAATTTACACTAATAACATCCATCATTTTGGATTTAATTTCCATCATCGCATTCTTCAAGTCCTTAAATCAAATGATCTCCACATTAAGGTTGACATTAATTTTGGATTTCATCAAATTCCCAACCATCTAAACAACTTACACAAATAGTATCAATAAAATAAAGGCAATTAATAATTTAAAGATCAGAGTTTTTTTCCTCTATTTAATAATATAATTCAAAATCTCTTATATAGCCCAATTATAGTCAAATTCTATATAAAAATCAATTTTTAGCTTAAACATATTATTATAATGTTGATATCATAGAGATCTTTAACTTTTACAAAGATTTTTCAAACAATTTATTCTTTTTCAATATCTAATTTACAAATTAAGTTTTGTTTTTAGCTTTAATTTTAACTTTTATAAAATTTATTCATGAACCTCACCTAGTTTAATTTTTGATATGCTTATTAAAATTTCAGGCATCAAAAATTCAAAATCTTAAAGCTCACTTCATTCAACTAACTATCTAGCCTTGTTTTAACTTCCAAATCAATCCTATAAAAATAATCAGGCGTTGTAAATTAGAAATTTCATATATTCTTCGTAATCATTATTGTTATGAATATTTATTATTCTACTTTTAATTTAGACATTTTATTTTTAATTACGATTAAATGTATTTATTACATATAATATTTGCTGTGTTTTTTAATATTCACTAGTTTTGCCTTTCCTGCTTATCAACCTATTATTTATTGAGAAATAAGTAACTTATATTTAATATTAATAATTCTTTTTCTAATAATTAAGTATTTATAAATCATTCACTAAACAATTCTTCTTACAAATTGAAGTAATCTCTAAAAGCTTATGAACCCTAATTTTATCTTTGGTTTTGTTATTAGATTGCTTTCAATTCTGTATCTAAAAGTTAGAATTTACTTATCCTATTTGTTTGGTTCATTTTATCTTCTTCTAATTATGTTTTCAATTTAATCATCAAGTTTTTCAATTTTTATTATATTTTAACTAAGCTTTAACTAAGGGTGGTTTTAAAAATCTTAATCTTTTAGTTCTAAATAAGGATGTATTTAACTCTTTTAATTTTCTATAAGTTATATAATTTTAATCGTAAATATCTTATTGAGACATTTTTGTGAGGAGATTTTAAGATGGCTCTAAAAAAATATAGATGATTTAGAGAAATACTATAAAGAAAATTCATTGATTAGCCATTCTTGATTTTGATGTTTTTACATGTAAATCCAAAAACTTGTTCTTATCCTAATGGTTGACTTAGCTCTTTGTATAAGTCAATTTTAGTAGCGTTTCTAAATATCAGCCTATTTCAAAGAGAAAAAAATTTTCAAAGCCACTCCAAGAAGATAATCACTTGTTACACATGGTGAATTAATCTAAGGAAAAAAATCCCCTTTTAAAGTCAATCCTGTATACATAGATTTAAGTGATCCAACTATTCTATTTGCTTCTTCAATTGTCACTTTTAAAACTAATATATAATGAAAATAATATAGCTATTTAAATAAACGATATTAGTTATCTATGATGTAAAATAAATTACTTGCGATTATTTTTTCTATCAATAAATATTTTTTGAAGTCCATAAATATTCTTACAATTAAAATAAAGGGCATTACATCATTAATTACATAATGTATTTTATATCGACTTTTATAGTTTGAAATCAAAAAATATATTGTTTATTGCGTTGCTTTGGATTAAAAAAAATCCAGAATTAGAAAAGTTAACCAATATTGTATTGATCTCCTTTCTTATATCAACAATGAATACAAAACAATTTATGTTGATGAAACTGCCTTTGTTCAATAATCTCGCAATCTAAAATGTTGATATTTAAAAAAGAATAAAAAATTTCGAAAATTAGCCACTCTTTAGAAATCTGTTAATATAATGGGGGTAATAGGTTAAAATGGTTTTTAGATGTTTTAGGTGTGCATAGAAAATGTCATTTAATTTGAGTTTGGCCAATTTATAGGAAAGCCAATAACAAGTGCAACTGAATTTTACAAAAATTAAAAATTCCTTATTATTCAGGATAACTGTCCAACTCATTAAAGTAAGATGATATAATAGAGATATTTAGATAATATTAATTTCTTATTTTTAACTCCTTATACTCCAGAATTAAATCTTACTGAAAAAATTTGGAAATTGTTAAAAGAGTAGATTTATGAAACTTAGCCTTATGATAAATTTTAATTATGAAGAGAAATTAATTTAGTTTTGTAAAAGAATATTAGTTGTCTAATAGATAGCTTAATGACAAATACATAGACAAAAATAAAAGGATATTTCAATAATGATTATGCAATTATATGAATATTAAATAAAATGGGTATTTAACTATAAACTAAATTATATATTGATTTCGACTATAGATAGTAATAGATAATTTTTGGTCTATGTGTTGATTAATTATTAATTCAATCTAATAAAATACAGTTGGCTATTACACTAAATATTCTACTCCATTTATTAATATAATTTGAGAACCAATATCAAATATTCTAAAAAATTTAACCATTAAACCTTTATGAGGGGATAATACTCCAGTGTATTGAATTTAATATTATCGAAGAAAATGACATTATCCACAAATAAAAAATTATTACAAATTCCAAGATAATTCTGTAGACCATCCTTAAAGGTTCGAAAATTGATACTAATCAAAGTTTAACATAAAAATTCTCCATTTTTTGCAAGCTAAAAAATCGTAATTGTCACAAACATCACATCCTTAGGGGCATCTTTCAATATAAAATTAAAAAATTCGAATCCCACAACTTGACTCAAAATATATTGATAAAATACCAATCCTGTGACATCAATATATATAAAAGCAGTTTTTTTTTTCTGTGGATATTTTACTATTATAATATCGTAATATTAATTGAATGGTGTAGGACCATTTAAACTTATTATCGTATCATTATTATAAGACCTATTATAAATTTTCATCCCATCTAAATACATTTATAAACCCCCAAAATTCATAAGGTTATTTCTTATTTAATAAATACTATTACAACCAAAATTCCATTTCTATTTTAACTTAATAATGAGGACTTAGTCTCGAGAATAATATACTAAATTTGGGAGAATTACCTCCATATAACATTACATCACCACTTTGAAAAACAATATTATTTAAGTTGGATTTCCATCCTGAGATTTAATTAAAAATACCTACCATCAAGTCCATCAACAGCAACATTAAATTAATAAATTAATTCTTCATAGGCATGGAGATGCAAGATCATAATTATTATTAGATTAATCATTTTAATAATTTAATTGAAGAAACCATAGATATATATTACCTAAATAAATTTACACAAAATTTAAGAAAAATAATATTAGAACTATAAGTATGAAAAAAAAATAATCATCTCCCCTTACATATATCTTAAATTATTTAATTTAGTTACCATTAACACAAGTGGATATTGAAGAAAAAAAAAAAACTAAAAAGGATAAATAAAAGGATTTCGGTTTGCATGGCATCTCCCTAATATAAGGATTCACTTGACAATGATTGTTTAAGTTTCCTGAACTTCTTACAGGTGAACATGAAACATATTATAGAATCTTATATTTATGTTATTTTGACCATTGTTAGAAAAAGTGTGAGAAATGTATTCATAGAAGGAGTGTAAGATTTCTTGATCCTGTCTTATTCCCTTTGAAGGCTCATTATCATTTAAGCCTATCTAAAAGTCTCTTAATTGGTTTTTTTCTCTCTAGTCTTCTTTCTAAAGAATCAGTTTAGCTTTTATTTCTTTTCTTTTTCTAAATTTAACCCTTAATTTTTTCCTTTTTCCAAAATATCTTTTAAGAAGATTTTAAATTTCTTTTCTTCAATCTTGATACTCAAACCAATTCTAAAATTCTTCAGAGGAGACCAAGTAATTTAGCAATATATATATAACTAAAATGAATAATATATAAAATAAAATTAATGAATACGTTGGATAATTATATTATCAAATTTTTGTGAATTCTTCAAATATTTCTTCTAAACTACTATGCATAACAAAAAAGTGCATTAAATGATACACAGGATGTAATTCCATATTTTTTAGACTTTTAGCTATTAACCTATAAATTAATATTCTTCCAAATATTGTAAGTGGTTCTATTAGTGCTTGTGAAATCAGAATATTCCCTAAATAAATAATGGCAGCTACATATTATTCTGATTGCATTTAAATTCTATCATAGTTTAATAGATACTTTTTTATGTAAAAAACATAAATGACAAGATTGGGGGACATCATTAATATGACAAGTAGAAGATGGCTAATAAAAGCAGCAATTCTTTTGAACCTATATATAGCTTCAATAATTTTATAAAAAATTCTCATTAACAAAATGATAAAGGGGTTTAAGATAATGAATACACAAATGAAAAGAATTTAATTATTTAACAAATAGCATTCAAGTAATGTTAAAGTTAATTATAAATTAAATTAGGAGAATACTTCTAAAATTCTATAACTTAATTCTATATTATTGTCTTTATAATAAAATAGCGAAATAGTTTAATGGATTTGCTAATATAACAATTGAATAATACCTTTAATTTTTCTTTAAATAATTTAGAATTACTATGATATATAAAAGGATTTTTTTATAAAATGTTGGGTTGGCTCAAATTACTTTAATCAGTATCAGATCTCCGTTATTGGACCTTTTTATCTTTATATTATTAAAAAATAAAAATGCCCAGAAATATTAATGACAAAGAGCATGTACTTAATTGTAAAGCTAACATGTCTTCAGATTGGGAGCCTAATTCAAAATTATATATTTATTTTTGTGATTCGCTTATATTTAAAATACTAAAATTTGTAGAGGTTGCTAAAAAAATTTCACCAAACTTATCACAATCACAATGTAACTCAAACGTATTGTTATTTTATACTCTATTCAAATTACATTAATAAAATTTTCCAGTGATTGTTCTAGTTAAACAAAATATTTCATATTCAGATAAAAATTATGTAGTATTTTAGCAACCTTGATAGGATCCAAAATTTGTGCTGTAAATAGATGAGAAATTTTCATATTCTTGAAATCTTCTACGATAAAAGTTTTTCAATTTAATTTGATAATAATTATCTGGGAATATTTGTAATGTTTGATCATTAAAATATTTTTAGAGTATTGATTCCAAATTAGAATTAAATCTTAAAGGATTCGTTTAAAAATAAGCAGATTCATATTGAATAAAATCTAGAAGGAAATCTTCTTTGGTTTATTGAATATTAAATTATTTATTGAATAATGATTTTGTTCTTCTTTTGATTTTCCAAATAATTTCAATTCCATCAATAACTAATGGCTTTTCGTTTACTATAATAGAATTTTGGGTTTCCTCTGCAATCGTATCAAAAACCCTTAACAATTCAACAATAATTTGATCTATAGTTTCATTTTTTATATTTATTTATGAAAAATCAGAATAGATATCATCAAGATAGTATATTAAACTTCTTAAGCAATCTTATGAGTCTTAATATTATTAAAAGATTTATTCATTCCAAATATATAAATTTAGTTCTAGCTCCTCTTCGCATTGTTTTTTCATTTTACTAAAATACTTTAAAATTGTATTAAAATTTTATGCATTTTCTTTCATATTTTCTATCTTTTTTGTTAAATTTACTACAGGTTAAGTTGAATTTTAGGTAATAAATAAATGGTTTGAGTTTAAATCTAAACATTTTTTTGGAGTTTCTTCATTCAATAATCGATTTTTAGGTTTACTTTCTT